TTTTAAAATTTTATTGTTAATATTAATTGGGTTTGTTTTTGGATACTTTATTTAATTTCCTTTTAAACTTTTGTAATATGTGGTTTTTTATGTTGTACGCTGGCCTAAGTCCTTTGGAAGAAGGGCGGCATATAAATCCAATAAACAAACAAACAAACAAACAAACAAGGAAGACCTGGCACGTATAATGAAGGATCTGAATAAGCTGGTTGCAAGTATTAAAATAATATCTATCAAAGAGGCCAACCAGGTTGCCTACAGTACAGCAATGGTAGTTACAGAAGAACTAGCTATCAAAATCTGGAAAAGCAAAATCATATTCAATCCCAAAGTGGAAGACCAGACTTGAGGCCAAAATAAAGAAATCAAGATCATATGCAAGTAATTTAAAGAACATGAAAAAGCAAAAGTTGAAGAATGTAAGGAACAAGACAACTCTAATTAACAAATGTTGGGTTGGCGCTAGAAAAATTGAAGAAGCTCTGGAAATCATAAAGAAACAAATAACAGCAATAGCAGGGAACATTGAATGCTATGAGGCAGAAATCATCCAATTTAAGCAAAATAAGCTATCTCAATCAGACCAGAGGCAATTCTATATAAATGGCAATAGAAATTGTGAAAATAGAAAATCAAACAAAAAAGAAACAATCCAGTTTTGGAAAGACAACAACAGTACAGATGTGGAAAGATTTAAGAGCTTGATTTTAAGAGCATTGAATTTCTAGAACAATTTTCCATATCTAGTATCTTCCATATTTACGATAGCTATCATATGGCAACAATGGATAGGCTTAATCCAAGGTGATGGAAGTTGTATCCATCACCTTGAGGGTTGAGGAAAGTATCTAAAAGTTTACCTCCTGTGAAGTTTTTCTCCATGTAGTCAATTATTTGATTGTAGTCACTGATTATATTATCTCCATGGATGATGACAGGTACTTCTTCCCCAAGGTTTAGGCGCATAAACCATGGTTCTTTATGCTCAGTCAAGGGCATGCTCACATCTCGTTCTTCACAAGGTATCCCTTTTTCTGCAATGACCAGACGGACCTGCGGGGGGGGGGGAACAGATGCAAAAGATAAGCAACTAATGTGCAAACTGATGCTACTAGTATTCACAAATAAATTGTAAGAAGCAATTGCAAGTGGTGTGCAATCTACACACACACACTTTCAATCATACCAACTGTTGCACCCCTGCTTGGAGTGGCTGTCCACTTTATACAGCCTTTATAATGTTACAGTTATATCTGAACCAGTGGTGAAATGCAACATTTTTTACTACTGGTTCTGTGGGTGTGGCTTGGTGGGCGTGGCAG